TTCCAGCAACAGGTACCACAGTATTTGCAGACCTACCTGAACTTCCTTAATTTTTAGCCTCTACTTCCTACCAAAAGGGCAAGTTGCAGAGCCAGAGGAATTATGGTGATGGGAAGAGCCATGTTTCTTGGAATGCTGCAAACCACTGGCCTTCTCTGAGGAAGTGAAGCAGAGCAGCACCACTGCACGAATCCCCATTCTGAGAACACGCTAACTGCAGAGACAAGCTTTACAGCTTCACACCAGAGTAATTTATGCACCATGGATACCTATCCATGTACTGCTACTGGCGTGAGACCTGGTGCTGTTCCCCCTCGCCATCGGTGTGTACAGAGTCAAGGCAGGATTACTTCTGGTTACTGTTTCACCCAACAGACAAGACTGGTTCCCCTCCTCTCCTCCAAACTCCATGTTGCTACAAAGAAATCCTAACTATCGGATTACAGTCACCAAGAAAAACAGCATATTCATGAAAGCATGCTATCAGCTCGGGCCCCCTTACAGCTGGAAATTTGGGACTACCTTATCATTTTGACAGGGATCAATTAGGGAATACATTGCTGCTATATCTTGTTAATTGCATGAAGTCTTGTTTATTAGAGAAAAAATATATATATGTTTGGGTTATTGCCCTCAAATCAGTTCAGGCCAGTAAGACTAAACTCACTCTGTTGTTCCCACTTGAGGCCCACACATCCCCCCTTCTGGGCTTAGGTAACAGGCCTTCCTCCGAAGCAGCCGCACGTCTATGCTCTGAGGCTGGCAGAAAGAGAGTATCCCAGTCAGTAACTCCAAAAGACAGCCTCGTGGCAGCTGCTCAAGTCTGCTGCATCAAGTCTTTCTTCTCTGCAATCACATGCGTAAGTCATTACCAAATTTCATGCCCTAACTGCTCCAGCCACCAAATTACAGCAGAGCAAGGCCGAACGCCCCAGTGTGTCTGCGCAGCATACGCTTACTAAAGCTCTGCACTACGCGAGGAGGAAGTTGCTTTGATTCCCATCACAGGCTGATCTTGTTTTCGTGACTAAGACCAGTGCCAGGAGCTACTGCACTATTATGGCTATTCTTCTTCATAGCACTCTCGAAATGGAAATTCAAAGGCAGCTTTACTCACGAGATTCAAAAGGACCTCTGAGCACATCTGCCTGCTATTAGAAACAGAATATCCACAGTTCTCTAATATCCTCGGGACACTGGATGTGTTCTCCAAACTGCTATCTCTTTTTTGACTCCTTGTATTTTTAACCAATAGATATTATGACAATATATTTTCAATATCTACACAAAATAACAATATTTCTAAGCAACTATATTTGTTGTAGCTGCAATAAACCTACATCCTGAATGAGCCTCTATCAATTTTGGCTTAGTGTTTGCACTTGAAGTAATTGAACTAAAATCAAAAAATTCAAATTTTGAAGGAGCTCATCTAATTGCAATTTTCCCAGAGTCTGTTTTCTCAGAAAAGATGCACTTAATTGAGGAAAAAAACAACATAAATCAAAACCTTTACTTTGTTAAAAAATAATAAATAAATGCAGTTTTAAACACTACTTTTCTCACCTTCCAGCTCTGGCATGGGATTCAATATTACTATAACTTGAAATCCACTGCAATAATTCTCAAGAGAAAGTCTGATATAGTGGCTTATGTCTCTTCTCTCACTCTTTCTGCCAAATCAAATACTTGCCAAACAGGAGTAGGGCCCATCACAGGCTCTACCCCAGATTTTGGGAGAACCAGCTTTTACAAAGTTCAGACCAAGAGAACCCCTCCTCCCCCCAAGGGATCTTTCTTCTTTTGAGTAATAGAAAAACAAACACTTTGTTCCACTCAAACAAAGCAAGACTGAGAAAAAGAAAATGAAAGTGCCCACATGGGCAGTAGCCACCCTGCATTCTCCAAGCAGGAGAAATAATGACATGGTTGGATCTCTAAAGCTAGTATCTGTAAAGACACAAGTTGTTCCTGCAAACAGGAAAGAGTTTAAAAGCATAACTTGCTCCATCATCAGATGTAAGCTACAAGCAATAAAGTTAACTGACAACATTCTGCATCTCACCTCAGCTCTCTATGCGGCAGGATTGGGTGGGGAAAGGAGTGACATTAAGTTGAGAGAACAGGACTGCAACTACCACAGATTAATACAAATAAAGAGCAAACACACAGCAAGAACTAGAGCCTGTAATTGGAAAGCAGTGCTGACCAGCAATGAGTGAGGAGGCTCTGACTAATGAAAATTTTAAGCAAGAGCTATGGCCTGCAAGACAGGGCAGTCACCTCTCAGGCACAGCAGTACTACAGTAACGAAGCTGCAAGCAACACACAGCGACCAGGTCCATGCAATGCTGATAATACCATACTTCTACAGGTGCTACTTTTACCGAGAATATGAACATTTTACAACTGTATACCACCATTTTTGCCCAAAAATCCACTTAGCTATAGCTAACCATTAATCCCATGATCATTTGTGACAGCGCAATACAAGACTTCTACCTAAACAAGAGACAAAGCACATTTCTCCTTCTTGAACACCGTAAGTTTTAACTTGGAGTGATTTTGATTTGAATTAGAAACAGACACATGCCACTATTAATCATTTTGTATGTTATCGATGACCTTACATCTTCCTGTAAACGGCTGCGTTAAGTGTGTAGTTGCATATCCCATACTCCACAGAGCAGGTTTCCAGGCCAAGGAAGTAAACCAGAACTATGCTTCTCAAGAGAAGTCCAAGAAGATGAGCTCTTTTCCAAAAGAGGCAGTCAGCATAACCCTTCAGACAAATGAAGGCTGACCCTTACAAAGGGCTACACTGGCAATGTTATGCTCCCCATCCAGCAGCCCTGTCCTTTCTAACGATCTCTCAAAGTAGCAGACTATCAGCTCCTCAGTACGTCAAGACACAAGCAATGTGAGATTTCTCTCCCAGCACTGACACCACGAGTCACACTGACTCTTCCTCTAAAAAGAATCAGCAGAACTCGTGATACAGCCTGGCATTGCGAGGAAGCCTCTTGACACACCGCTACTAGCTACAGTTACTGGCCCTTGGGATTCACCACTCGAGAGCATTTCAGAGCTGCTGAGAAGAGTCCTACAGGTTACAGTTATTGTGGTGCAGCAATAAGGCTCAGAGTAACCAATAAGGCATAATAGTCCTTGCAGCTTAGCTTTCTTCGTAAAAAAAAAAAAAAAAAAAACACGAGAATCTAAATGTGGACAAGGTTTTTGCAGAGGGTGTTTTAATTTAGAAGAGTGGAAGAAGGAAGCCAGGAATTCTACTTCAGAACAAACCTAAACTGACAGGAGGCAGTGTACACAGTCCTGAGTACCTCCAGGAGTGCAAGGCTAATGTGGGACTTACTGGATAGAAAACTCTTCAAACCAGGTCACTTTTTTATAACTTACATAAGGTCTGGGCTTACTCATTCTCCCAGATAAGGCTGAAAGGATCCTAGAGTTAAATACTATACTTGCAAATGATTGTTTCAAAAGGGTCTGGGATAACTGCCAGAAAAAGAAATAAATCCTAAAAATGTCAGCAGGAGTCCTCCAGTCTTAACCTATTGCAGAAGACCATTTCCATATTAAATTTACTTTCAGATTTATGTTTCAGGGCCAGAGAGCTCCTATAAACATACTGCTTACCTTTTACTGAGTAATGCACTTTTTTCATGCCTTCTCCTTGAGCAGAAGCACAAGCATTTTAATGTAGTCACTCGAGGGGCAGGATCTACCACATCCTCTGAAGAGCTTGTGGCTACATTTCCTTGTTGTTTAAAACATATTTCCTTCAAGATCAATAGCTCTAGCTGCTATCATTTTTCAGCCTTAGCTAGTGGAATTTCAACAGGCACCTGCTTTTACATGGTAGAAGAACTTTGGAGGGCAAGTACTGACTCCAGAACAAACATCAGTTTTTGCAAAGCCAGAAGGCATGTGACACTACAACAAGCTCCATTATGCTCACCACACTAAAACCTGATATCATTTAAACTACTCTGGAGAGTGTGTTTCCCTTGCACATTTTTAAATGGATAAGCAAGGGCTCAGATCTACAGAATATGACGTGCTTCCTTGCAAGATGCTGCAGGGGAGGTCCTGTGCATCTTCACAGAAAAGGCAGGATACTGCATTTGAATCAAAGCTGGGCAGACATGCAAGCATCTGAACCACAGTAGCAGTGTGCTGCTGCCCTCACCCATTTGTTAACATCCTGGATGACAAGAATTGAGAAGTGCAGCAGCACTATAGTAGACTCGCAGCATTATTGCAGAACAGAGCACCTCCTTCCCTTTTGTATAGCTCTTGGTCTTGGAGGGGAACTTGTTCTTTTGTCGCAACTCCAACTAAAAAGCTGACTGCTCTATTCTGGTTTCTTCCCTATGTCAGATCAACACTTTGATTCAAACCTATTAATCTCCCATATCTTCTGTGGGGAAAAAAAAAAAAAAAAAGACTTGAAAAGTTTTATAATAGTGATGTTTTTAAACAACACCAACAATCACCTCACCTAGTTTTGCACAGCATGGATAATGTTAGGATGGGAAGACCTTCCCCAGGACTGCCAGATAACCAGAAGTGACTACCACAAAAAAAATGAAGTCACACTACTTGCTAAGCCTGGTCATAAACGTATCAGAAAGGACTCCTATCCTCCCCTCCTTCAAGAGCTGAGCCTTTAATTTGTGACCAAACTGCCTTTTCATTGAAAATATCAGATAGATCTTCCTTTATCATAAAATACAGGTTCATGCTTATATAGTCTACTACATTAATTGTAGTGGTGGTCAAGAGCCCATCAGAATAAGGCCATGCTGAATATACGAAAGTACTTCATTTTATTTTAGTACTTTTTCAATTAATTCAGTTCTACTATACACACACACAGAAAAACTATTGAAGAAAATCAAGTAACTACTTGCATATCTATCAAACAAATTTAAAAAAATCTATATTGAGTTTATTTCTCAACTAGAGAACAGTTTTACCTGCAGGCAGGACAGCCTCCGACTACTACTACGGAAGTGGTTGTAGCAGGCTGCTGAATAATGGTGTATGTGCTCGAATAGTTTGGCTGCGCTGGCGGTGGAGGAACAGCATATCCTAAAACAAGAAGAAACAACTGAATCAGTGTGTGCAAAGCACACAACAGTAACCTGGTTAAAAGTATGGAAACAGAACTGCTTTACTAGGAAGAAAACAAACAGAAATGTACTCTCATTGGAGCACTTTACAGAACTGTATTGGATCAGAGGTGGAACAAACTATTCAGCACTTCTAGCTGCAAAGCCACTTCATAAATCCAAGCACCTAGTAAATTTTAACCATCTAAAAGGCACACCAAGCTAATAATTAACTCAGGGTTTGTTTCAATGCCATTTGAATACCAGAGAAAAAGTTTAAACAAAGGACAACTACAAATTTCACTTCCAAAGGTTGTGTTTCAAGTATGCCCCACTCCAGTACACAAACCAGTGAAAGAGAATAAGCATTCCTCTCATTTCCAGCTGAACTTCCACGCGTAAAATTTTTAACTGGAGAATCAGGCAGGAACAGTAGTTGCAAGTGGTAAGGAAACACAGGTAAGAAAGCTGTGCAGCTCAGAGTGAAGCCCTTTAGAATACCCAGGAGGCTAAGGTGTCATCTTAACTATATATTGAGGAATTTTTGTCTATCGCATTAACATTAAAAAAAAAAAAAAGACCTTAAAGGGCTGGTAGACATATGCAGTACAACTGTACGGTCAAGGTACACTCTGCCCAGATATCATCTAGATTGAGTTTCTGTCCAGGTTTCCTGAGTCAGTTATGCACAGAAAAATGTTAATGCTTCACAATTTAAAGTTAAAAGCCACCAGCAACACCTGCACTATAGAAGGACCTGCTCCAGCTTACCCACAGAGTTATCCACGGCCTCAAGACTCAACCCAACGCTTGAGAAGCCAGGCAGCTCCTCAAGAGCTCCGCACAGGCGTTCCTTCCCGCTTCCTCCTTCCACGGGGATTAGCCCTAGTTCAGCTAATGCAGCACGGTGCCTGCTGACCTGCACAAGCCTCTTGTGACTACTGAGGTGCACCAGGAAATCAAACCTAGGCCAGGAGTGCAAAGAAGTGCGTGAAAAGGGAAAGTTGCCCCCTCCCCCCCCCTTATTTTTTTTTCCTCCTTGGGCTTTTTTCCTCCCTTTTTTCCCCTTTCTTTTCCCGAGCCAAACCAATGAGGCTGCCACACTTTGGCGGCGTTTTGGGGCGGAAGGAGGCGGTTCTGGGGCAACCTCGGCACAAACGGCGCTTCAGCGCCATGGGCACCCCGGGGGCCGCACCGAGGGCGCTGGGGGGACTCTCCCAGGCGCCGGGATTTCCCCCCG